CCACCAACCACCGCCCCTCTCCCCCTCGCCCCACTACCGCCCACGATTTCGGCGAAAGTAGCCGGCGGGATCACGCCGAAAGGCCGTCACACGCTCGAGGTTCGCTCCACCACTCCCTCCTACATCAGCGGGCCGGAAAGTAGCAGACCTGCGGCCGTTCGACGCGAGCGGATGGATTTGGCTTTTTCGGCCCCGGGGGGCTGCGCCAAGCGATGGAATGGTTGGGGAGAACCCCGTGCAGCACCGGCAAAAGCCCCATCGCCGCATGCAGGTACGGGTTCGTCCTGTAGCCGCTGCCGACGGTTTGCCGGTAGGGATTCGACCGGCCGTCCGCCGGGCTTGGCGCTCGCGCAGCGGCTCTGCGGCTCGCCGATGCCGCTCATACAGTGTGACGACTGCACGTGAATAGTGCTGCGGCTAACTTCGGGCACGCCGAAGCACCCCGGATGGGTGTTCTTCAAATGCGAAAATGATGGGGTATGTATTGTTTTCATTCGGCTTTGTCACGGTATTCTTCGGTTCAACTGCGATAGCTCATTTGAACATTGTCATGTGTGTACGAAGATGGACGATCATTTTGGTTTTGGGAAGGAGAATACATTGATTTATTGATAGAAAGTAATTTAATAGATGTTCGTGCACTAATGATCCACAAGTGTAGGGGATCTATCGTAGTCCTTTCGATAAGTAAGAGTGTTGAACCCAACGAGGAGCAGAAGGAAATGATAAGTAATTTTCAGTAAGATATTCTCTGCAAGCACTGAAATTATCGGTAACAGATAGTTTTGTGATAAGATAATTTGTAACGGGTAACAAGTAATAAAAGTAAATAAGGTGCATCAAGATGGTCAAATCTTTTTTGTAGCAAAGGACAAGCCTGGACAAACTCTTATATAAAGGAAAGCGCTCACCAGGACACATGGGGATTATCGTCAAGCTAGTTTTCAGCACGTTCATATGATTCGCGTTCGGTACTTTGATAATTTGATATGTGGGTGGACCGGTGCTTGGGTACTGTCCTTCCTTGGACAAGCATCCCGCTTATGATTAACCCCTATTGCAAGCATCCGCAACTACAACGGAAGTATTAAGGTAAACCTAACCAAAGAATGAAACATATGGATCCAAATCAGCCCCTTACGAAGCAACTCATAAACTAGGGTTTAAACTTCTGTCACTCTAGCAACCCATCATCTACTTATTACTTCCCAATGCCTTTCTCTAGGCCCAGACAATGGTGAAGTGTCATGTAGTCAACGTTCACATGACACCACTAGAGGAAAGACAGCATACATCTCATCAAAGTATCGAACGAATACCAAATTCACATGACTACTTATAGCAAGACTTTTCCCATGTCCTCAGAAACAAATGTAACTACTCACAAATCATATTCATGTTCATAATCAGAGGGGTATTAATATGCATAATGGATCTGAACATATGATCTTCCACCAAGTAAACCAACTAGCATCAACTACAAGGAGTAATCAACACTACTAGCAACCCATAGGTACCAATCTGAGGCTTTGGGACAAAAATTGGATACAAGAGATGAACTAGGGTTTGGGATGAGATGGTGC